ACGCGAGGTAAGTGTTTCTCATTAGCCCCTTTCTCTTCGGCCTAACTCTCTCCGCTGTCCCAATCCACCTCTCTCTTTACACCACCACCATAGCCAGCATCTTCAAGCCACCATGTCTCCCTCGCCGGCCTTACTCATGCCAGCGAATCAGTGAGTGCAATGAGTCACGCTCCGATACCAATTCGCAAGGAACCTGACTGTTCACTCTTGCACCTGTCTCTTATACACATCTAGATGTGTATAAGAGACAGAGGAACCTGACTGTTCACTCTTGCTGGAGTATTCAATTTGCATGCACATCCGTCATCACACAGATAGGATAGCATCACACAAAGTCAAAGTTGAGATGAGAAAGGGACCAGATAGCGCAGCTCATATTATAGCTGTCTCTTATACACATCTAGATGTGTATAAGAGACAGGTCATCATCACAGAACCTGGCTCAGCCAGCATCACTCTTTTGCTCACAGGTACTTAATAACCATATCCCACTTGGCAACCTGTCTTCTCTCTCTTTCGTATCTTCTCTCCCAAGATCCCTGTCGTGGTTACTTTCTCTCACTATGCATGCACACTCCCTGCCTACGAGAATCTACTCTGAATGCCTCTCACTGAAAACCTACGATTAACCCCTTCTACTGCTTCTACTAACTCAGGCTGGCGCAGCTATGGCTTCCCTGCAGCCAGCGCCCAGCTCATCTCCCTTCTGGCGCAGCTTCTCTTACCAGCGCCCCTCCCTGCACTCTAGCGCACAAGTGCCTCAACACTTCCACGCAGCAATGCCAATGGGAATCTGTCCTTGCGGGGATGCTGCCTCATTCTTTATAGTGCTGGCCTCCCCTTGCAAGGTCTGAACTCAGCCTGTCTTGGGTTCCGTCCCAGTCCCAGCCTCTGTGGAGTGTGTCCCAGTACCTTTTCCTTCAAGGTCTGCTGCTGCTGCGGCCTTCCGGCCTGAATTTTGGACTTAAGAGCCTGTATCTAGACTCTCCTTCTGGTTTAATTTGTGACTGGGATTTTATCCTTTTGACTTCCTTTGGACAGACACACCTACTGCTCAAACAGACACACATTCTGCACGAACAGACACACGTACTGCACGAACAGACACACATACTGCACGTACAGTCACATCTCGTGCATGAACAGACATGACTTGCACATCCCCTGAATGAACAGATGTGACTCCCACATGCAACTGTTTGCCCAGGGGCACAACTGTGACCTTTGACATTGACTTTTACTTAGTTAGGATGTGACTTTTGACCCAGAGAACATGTCCTTTGATCTGCTTTCACGAGTTGGGGCTCTGGGCGAGTGACCCCTCTATGCTGCATTCGTCAAACAAGGGCTAAATCGGGTAAAGGCCCTTTTAATCAACAATAGGTCCACTCCATTTTATTTTTTTTATTTTTATTTTTTATTTTTTTTGGTTTGTTTGTTTGTTAGTTAAGCGCGGGGTTTTGTCAAGTTGGGATCCTACACAGACGACAGTCACCCACTGTAATTGGCCATTAAGTGAGGAGTAGCAAATGATGGAAGCCAATCCAGCGTTATATACAAAAATACGGTAATTAATAATTTAAAAAATGCAGCTCTCCACACTTATGTCTTTTCCTCCTATGGTTAGGGCGAGAGGCAAGGATTACGTACTCATCTCCCACCAAATCTTTCTATTACTCTGAATCCACTTTTTTTTTTTTTTTTTTTTCGTTTCTGTTCTATTAAATATCATGACTGGTAGAAAGTCTCTTTTCCATCTTTCTTCCCTTTCTTTTTTTTTATTTTCTTAATCCTCAAGGACCTCTTCCATTTCTCTACTTATGAGTGTCATGCTTGCGCAGGGGTCATTCAAGTCTTCTTTGTATCGTTCCAATTTTCACGGATGCCCCAAAGGATTTAATCCTCTTCCCCTTCTCTCCCTCCTTTGTCGTCCTTCTTTTTAAAAAAAAGGGGCGACGACCATGAAATATCATCTCATCTTGCAGAAATGACCTCCCTTGGTAATTCAAAAATTTATTTACCTACTTCCATCTGGATTCGAACGCAGGTCTGTATTTCAACAATACACGAGGTGAACCAACAGGTCAACTGAGTTAGGCCCGCTGGTTCCTTGTTTCACTATAATTGCCTTTTCCAACCCTTCATCACTTCTTATTCCGGTCCTATGTGTACAGTCGGAAAATCACCATTCATTGCATTCAACCAATGTTTCTACGTATAAATCCGGGAGAAACATTTCTCCTCTGCCCCCTTGACGTGGCAAACTATCTTTCCCTCCCTCCCTCCCTCCCTCTCTGTTAAATGCTGCACCTGCACACGGGCCCCATTTGAGGGGCCCGATGGTTGCTGAGGGCCCCCTAGGCCGCGTACCATCCAGCACGCGCCCTGGAGGCCCACGGCCGCCCTCCAGGCCCTAGGCAGCACACTAGGTAGATAGGTTTATTTTACTTGCCTTTTTTTTTGTGTGTGTGCTGTCTTATTTTTGTCTGTTCAGGTGCCGTTTCGGACTAGCAGCCCCAAGGCCAGACCTTGGGACTGGGTACACCGGAGGCAGGCCCGAAACGAGACCAGGCGCATTTTGGCGCTAAACCGGTAGGTACAGGCGTCGTTTCAGTCCTGCAAGACCCAAGACGACATCTTGGGCCAGGTGCACCGGTAGGAGGCCATTTTTAGGCCAGGCGCATTTCTGCGCCATGCTGCATCAGCAGCAAGGTCTGGACGCCCGGTAGGGACCCAGACCAGCTGGGCCGTTCTAGGCCACACAGTACCAGGTAGGCCCAGCCACCCAGCGCTACAAATAGCTGGGCCACGGCTGGGCAGGGGACAGTTCGAGTAGCTCACTTCTGGAGCGACACGTTGCTGGTTGGAGGTTGCGCTATGCAAGGCCAAGCCGCGGAGTAGAGAGTAGGACATAGAGGAGATAGGGGGTCGTGGAGGCCATACCTGCAGTCGACGAGCTTACCTGGCGCCATAGTTGGGCTCCACGTGGTACCTTCACACGACGACAGACACAGTCAGTACGGTGACGGCGACCTGCAGGTGAGATAGCGAGGAGGACTTCATCTCTTCTCTCCCTCCTCCATCTCTCTCTCTCTCTTTCTCTCTCTCTCTCTCTCTCTCTCTCTCTCTCTCTCTCTCTCTCCCCCCCCCCCCCTCTCTCTCTCTCTCTCTCTCTCTCTCTCTCTTTCTCTCTCTCTCTCTCTCTCTCTCTCTCTCTCTCTCTCTCTCTCTCTCTTTCTTCTCCCTCCTTCCTCCTCTTTCTCATCTTCTTCTTCGAATTTGAGAGTGGAAGAGGTTATCAGTAGGGATTCCGGCAGAGGTTATGCTGGGCGCATTGCCCAGGATCTGATGCGACATTTCTGGGACAGACATTGATTGGACACTCGGCAAGAGACTATTTTTTTGGGACTTCGCTATTGCGATCTTGGTCTACTCCCTCACCTCCTTCCTCCTCGTCTCGTCCCTCCCCCATCCCTCATCCGTGGTATCTCCCCATGTATGTGTGTGAGGAAGGGACCTTTCTTCCATGATTGCGGTCCCTTCTCTCTCTCTCATGTGTGATGTGTGATGGATGTCCGGTCAGTCCAGATCAGATCAGATCAGATCTTCTCTTTAAATCTTCCGTTGTGCCATTTTGTGCCATCTTGTATGTATCCGGAATGTACATTGCTTGCTGATGCTGCGCTGACCTCGCATTGTCCATTTCAGTCATTTTCATCACATAGCGGATCATTGGCTCCCTGCGCATTGTCCCACTAGACGTGCGTCAGTTTTGGTATCGGAGCTGCGCTTGTCAATCAGGACAGTCTGATCTGACACAAGCGCGGGGATAACCCAGGACCGATTGGGTATTGATTGATTGATTGATTGATTGATTGATTGATTAATGCGAGAATCAGGGTCCTCGGTAGGCCTATGGGGCCCTGTCTGCAGCCTTACCCGCCCTAAGTGAAGGCGGAGGTGCCCGCCCTAAGTGAAGGCGGGCCTGGCTCTTTGCAAAAGGACTTCGACTGTCAATTTCAAATTTGAGGTTCAGGCAGTTGCGACGCGCCAGTTGGTTGAAAGAAACACAGGCTGAGCAACAAGGACATTTCCACGGCCTACCGGGCCTTTCCAAAGGATGCAGGCCCTGGCCGTGATTCGTAGCCTCATACAGAGACAGTTGGGCACCCAACCGAACGAGGCCCAGCAGCSCAGTAGCTGCTGCATCCAGGCAGCCTCCTGGGGCCGTCCGGAAGCTTCTGGGCCCAGGCCAAGGCAGCCAGGCTGCGTGAGCAGGCCAACTCTTTGCATAAAGGAAAGAGTTCGGCACTAGCTGCCTCATTCAAGCACTCGCGTGCTGGGCGGCAGCGCTGCTCGAGCTTATGCTCGTAGGCTGCTGCTAGCGCTGGGAGGCGAGGTGCAGCACGTGCGGTCGTGCAGAGGAGGAGGGCGCTGCTAAGGGCAGCGTTATAGCCCAGCCACCATAGCTGGTGGGCTTGGACTACAGTGAAGCGCAGGGGTGGTCTTCGGGTGACAGAGAGGACAGGTGTGGGTGAAGTCAGGGGATAGGTGAAGGATGATGATGATGATGATGATGTGAGGGCACGTACCTTGTATTGGCAATGGTCTGCATAGGCGGCATCTTCAAGTACTTCGGGCTGCTGCTGATGTCAACAGTTGCATTGTCTTTTTGTAGTCTGTAGTAGCTGTGTAGGAGTAGGCTGGGCGCTGAGCGCCAAGTGTGAGTGTAAGGGAACTAGACTCTTTTGCTGAGAGGAGAGAGTGTGCTCTCCACGGACATTGGTTTTCAGTGCTACGAAACTCCATTGGTGTATTATTGGTGCAATGCTGCTCTTTGGACACGGTGTGACTATTTGGCTTGCAATGTGATGGTGTAATCTGGGATTGTCATCTCGCTGTTGCTTATTTTCCTTGCAATTTGGTATCGGAGTTGGTTCATATTGCGCTTCATTGGTTCTTCGCAATAGCTATTGGTGCTTCGCATGAGGTGTGGGGCAGTGATACGGCAATGGCGTTGAACATTAGGCGGCCCAGGGTAGTGTGGGCGCGCCGGGGAGCTATGTGGTGACATATGGGATGTATGCTGGATGATGAGAACTCGCTGATGTGGCATATTAAGCCGAAGTGGAACCGCATTCTGCTGTTGGTTGTGCTGAGGCAAAGACCGGTCATCATAATTATTGCACATCAAGTTACAGGTGAGAAATTTGTGGTTGGGGGCAGCATTTATGAGGTACGTTGCTCTCTTCCTTATCTACCCTCTTCATCTCTTCTAACCGTGAGGAGGTGAGTTATGTCTTGAGAGTCCTCTCATTGTGAGGTGTCGCGAGCGCTCAACCTTGAGAGTCGACATTCTTCCTGGGCAGCAAGCTGGTGGGAGACGGACGAAGCCTCTGAAGGGCCCTGGACGAAGCACTCGGGTCACGGTCACCATGCCAACCCGCTGGGACTAGTACACGCACGCTTGGGCTGCAAGTCCTTTGTTCTGCTGCTTGCGCAATAGAGGTCTACCTGGGCATGCCAGCCTTTTATGAGACGCTTACCAGACCGTCTATAAACATTTCTGGTTGGGGACTCGGATTGAATCTGGCTGTGATCGTCGTCCTGACTGCGACGTTAAATAATTCCTGAAGAGATGGGGGCGCTCTTAAAATTCCTCCTGGTCAGCCAGATCAACTGGGTGTAAGGCTCGTTCCGTACGAGGGTAAATAAAAGTGGACTGGCTGGCATGCTCGGCAAAGACTTGGGGCATAGCGGTGGGCCGGATTGCACACCTTCAGACACGCTGCTCAAACCAGATGCTTAGGGATGTTGACACAAAGTGATTACTCAAGAAGGATACAAGGGGAGGGGGGGATTCCGATAACTGTTCACAGTGACACTCAACAGACTATCTGCCATCCAGTGTACATCTCCGACAGGAGATGTTATGTTTGTTTTTGATTATCGAGTTGTTACGGACTTGCCAATAACTGACAGACGGCTACAGATAGACTAGATCTTTGCTGTATTGCAATCTGTTCTAGGGTAATCTAAAAATAGATTTGATATATCGTGTAGGACCTGACATTAGTTGTGGCTACATCACCTAACTATTTCTGTTCATGCCGACCGTGGTTAGTTGTGTATCATATACGGATGTGTGTCAAGCTAAGGTAGGATTCAGTGTGGATTCTAGTGTAGATCACACACACTGTAGCTCATGAGTGATGCAAGCACAAGTGAGGAGGAGCCGGTAGTGGACGACCGAAGGATTACTCATGGGACTACCTGCAGTCGACCCTTGACGTTCTTGGAATAAGGCCAAGGAGATGAGAGAAGATTGAGGAGAGAGGCTAGAGAGAGAGCAGCAACAAGGAGAGCGAGGGCAGCTGAGGATAGTGCTAGGGCTAGAATTTCAGCTAGTACCAGTACAACCATGGCTACCTCAGCTATGTCGCAAGCCTCTACACAGTCCTCTTCGTCAGGAGTCAGTCAGAGTGGGTCTCAAGGTTTCCACTAGCCAGATTGCTTCCTTGCGAGTCAGCCAGCAATCTCCACTTACGCCGGAGGACTTAGAAATCCGGCAGGCAGAAGAACTTCAGGATGAGTTACAACGGCAAATGGACGATGTAGTAAAGAGGAGAAGGAAAGTTATGCAAAGAAAGGCTAGACTAGAGAGTAGAGCTCAGGAGTTAGGCAGACTGGAATGACTAGATGAGTCAACATTAGACCCTGTTGTCCGTGTGCTGCGAGGCGCCTTACTTTCAGTGGCGGAAGCGCAAAGCGTTCAACAGGAATTGTTGGCTGATTTGGTAGCAGGCCAGAAACAAATTCTGGCTAAACTCCGGGGCCCTCGCACTATGGTGAGGCCGCCACAGTTTGCTGTAGTTCCCCCTGCAGCTGCGGGTCCATCTTCAATGCCGCAACGCACAGGGCAAACTTTCTCTCCCATGTTTGGCATCCCCTCCCCGGGTGGTTTAGTAGCAACTAGTGATCCGGTTCATTCAGTCTCAGCCGTACCATCCACAACAGTGGTCACTACAGTCCCACTGTCCAGCCAGGCTCATGTTAGTATGCAACAACCTGTTTCAGTGGCTATGCAGCCGCTGCAGCAAGCACCTGGGCCCATGCAGCCTATGCAATGGATGCCCAAGATAGCTTTGATGAGTCCCAAGCCCTTCTCTTGCGATAAGAAGAAGGAGGACTTGGACACCTGGGTGAGAATTGTGCCTACTTATGTGAGGCATAAGCCCACAAGGCCAGAACAAGAAGTTGTAGTGGCTGCCTCCTTTTTAGAAGGATCAGCAGCCCGCTGGTTAAATGGCTTAGTGCAGCAACAAGGCTACGGTCAAAAATTTGATGCCTGGGCACAATCCCAAACATTGGAGGAGTTCATATGGTCTGTGTACAACAGGTGGCATGACCCACAAGGGGCTCAGAAGGCCACTGGCGCTATCAACAGTCTTTGTTCCCGAAGGTTCAAGAATGTTAGAGAGCTAACGGACGCAGTAGAACGACTAATCGTGGTATCTGATGTGCATTTTGACCAGCAGGTTCTCCTAACGGATTACCTAAGGTGCCTATCTTCAGAGGTAAGGACCAAGCTGGTTGACGAAGCCTATGTTGAACAGCACACCTTTGCTTCTTTCAGTAAGAAATCTCTGGACATCGAGGCAAAGCAAGGATCTGCGCATCAGGCACCCAACGATGGTAGGAAGAGACTCCCCCAAGATTGGAAGAAAAAGGGTCAGTTAATGTTCGTTGACCACGATGGTCAAACAACGGAGATTGACGACTACTCAAATCTTGGGGAGTTCACAGAGCACGATGGGGGTGGTGAGACTTTAGATGGTAAAGTCGTGGCACCCATCAAGGAAAAGGCTAGGGGGACCGGGAAGAAGAAGGTAGGACGGTCCACGGGTCAGGGCGACCAAGGAACACCCGCATGGGTGAAGATTGGTTTAGACTACGAGGTGTGGCGTGACCGCGTTGCTAGGGGTACATGCATGAACTGTGGCAACTATGGCCACACGTCCAGGACTTGCCGCGGCAAGAAAGTCACAACGAAGGTAGCCCACCGACGCTCTGTTCGAGAGATGTGTTTGAGGCCCTAGAAGAGTTAGAGACTGAGTGGTCAGGGAAGGACCCCAGGGACTCTTGAGCGATGATCAGTAGAGGTCCAAAGGGTGAGCATTTCATGGTAGAAGTAGATGTAGGTGGCCGCAAGGCTGGCGCCTTCGCAGACATAGGCTCTACATGAAATTTCATCAGTCGTGCTTGTGTGGATAGACTGCGCTTAGGGGACCAAGTGCAGCGGCTTAGCAGAACTGTAGCTTCTACGCTAGCCAACAAGCCAAGATGGTGGTAAAGGACTACGTCAAGGACGTAGCCTGTTTCTTCTCCTATGGAGAAGGGGAAGTGATCCACAAGATCTCTTTCCTGGTTAGCGACGAACTGCCATTCGACATGCTACTGGGCATGTACTACCTCAAAGTCTCGCAACCACAGTTTGATTGGGATAGAAAGGTGTTGATACATAAGTTGCCAAATGGTAAGACCGTTAGGCTGCAGAAGTACAAGGCTAGCAGTCTAGTGGAGAACTACGACTGCATGTGCGCTTCGTCTTTCTATAACTACTACAAGCAGAATCTCGAGGAGGGCATGTACCTAGTGTTTGTCTCTGAGAAAGAGGAGGTCGTTAAATCACCCCCGGAGATAGAACAAGTCGTCGCTCAATATTCAGACCTTTTTGAGGAGCCCACAGGCATGGTGGAAAAGGAGGTTGTCCATCCAATAGAGGTTGTCCCAGGTAGTAAGGTGCCTAGAGGACGAATCTATAGGATGTCTCCTGCGGAGTTAGATGAGCTTCGTCGCCAGCTCAAGGAGCTCACAGAGAAGGGATGGATACGGCCTAGTACCTCCCCTTATGGTGCGCCAGTCTTATTTGTTCCTAAGAAGGGAGGTCCATTAAGGATGTGCATTGACTATAGGGGCCTCAATGCCATCACCGTTAAGAACGCGGAGCCCCT